CCCTTCCCCCTCCTCCCCTTCCCCTACATCCCCTATTCAACCGGCGCAGTTGGCAGTTACGTAAGAAGTACTCTGCGGTGTTGCCAGGCTACCCGTTCAATATAGACCCACTATGTCCTACAGGGTTGCATTTTTGGCAGCTTGTCCTCAGTGCCGCTGCGACTACTTTTAGCGACTCGGTACTCTCGATTATGTGATCACGCAACACGAATGCTTACACGTCTGCCGGGGTTCGCAGAAGGGGTTTTGAGGCGCGGGAAAACGGGAGAAAAGTTGGTGAGGAAATGATGGACGCTGCGGGCCGGGTCTTGACGCTGTGACCTTGACTCGGAGTATGCCAAGGTGCCGATCCATGGTAACAGTTGTAAGATAATCTTGTCTCTTTTTTCCGTTATCTTCTTTGGTTATTGTTGCGTGTTATTGTTTAACGAGGATAGAAGTACTGTTTAGGGGTTGTGTTTATTAGATTTCGTTTTAGTCGTTTCACGGCCATCAGCTGATCGATTTTCGGCCAATGGTTTTCGTTCACCATAAGTCTCGCCAGACAGGTGCAAGGTTGCGATGGCGCCATGGCTCACACAGACACACACACACGCGCGCGCGCGCGCACAGACACAAACACAGATACACACACACACACAAACACACACAGACACAGACACACACACACACATACACACACACACACACACGTGTACAGGTATACGTATACGCACACGCATATCCGCCCCCACCCCAAACGTACACGTGCACGCACATCCGCACACACATAAGGTAATACGTGCACTTTTTCGTCAAAGATGATAACCGCGAAACATACGTCCTTGGCGCAGTCCCCGGCGCTTTGTGGAATACTCAATCGTATAACTTCGTATAATGTATGCTATACGAAGTTATTACGCCCACCCCAAACGTACACGTGCACGCACATCCGCACACACACATAAGGTAATACGTGCCCTTTTTCGTCAAAGATGATAACCGCGAAACATACGTCCTTGGCGCAGTCCCCGGCGCTTTGTGGAATACTCAAAGAACTAAACATGAATGTAAATAGTTATAAAATGACAACCGTTGTTGTAAAGGGTGAAATATAGTTTGATTTCTTGTTCTCGGACCAGATGTGTAATTAAAGT